TACACTCTAAAAAATGCTGGGTTAAATTGGGTTGTTTTGACCCAGCGGTTGGGTGCAATTGGGTTGTTTTGACCCAGCGGTTGGGTTACTACCCAGAAGGTTGGGTTAAACATTTAACCCAACTGCTGGGTCAAAACAACCCAATTGCTGGGTTTGTCCCTATTTTACCCAGCACTGGGTTGTATTTAACCCAGCATTTTTTAGAGTGTAGGATCTAATTTTATACATAGATGTTTAATTTTAATTTTTTTAATTTTAAAGGCACACTTGGTATTGCTTGAAAAACTTGCTGCAACCCATCTTTCAAATTTTGGGGGAAATCAACCCACAAATTGCTCAATGATAGTTGTTTCTGCAAATAAACGTTGATAAGAGAAAGTATGTCCACAAGAAAAACGGTAGACTTCTTCTTTAAATAAAATATCTTTGTTTAATAAAATATCTTTTTATCCTAGCATAATGCAAAAATATTTTCAATGTGTAAAGTTAACTTAGTTACAGTTTCTGTGTATTGTTCGAAGTCTGAGGCATATTTGAATAAACCAAATATGCCATTCTAGCAGCTTAAAATAGGCAACGTTTATTTTTTAATCTGAGAACAAAGAGTAGGCAACAGTTGTATACCGCAAAATATTAATAGATACCCAAATAAAATAAAATGAAAATAAAATATTCTAAAGGTCTTATATTATCAAATAAAAGTCAATAATAAATAAGTCATATGACTAAGATTAATCCCTGAGCTAGGCCTTGAGTACAGCCAGTGTTGCCAAGTCCGTAGTTATCCCACGGAGTTGGGATACCTTTACACTGTTGCTGCGGGTTGTTTTTTTGAAGGGAAAACCACACACACACACACACACACAAACAAAACACAGTTGGACTAGTATTCTGAGCTATTTTTGGGTAGCAATTGAGGTGGTTTTGTTCCAGAGACCTGGCAACCCTGATTACAACATCAAAAATGTGGAAACGATTGAATAATATTGAAGGCTTGTGATTTGAATTAGTATTGACAAATATTGAAACCTAACTTTGATTTGATGTAAAACCTCCCAGCTAGTCGTAAAACATCTCCCTGGACAAGTTATTTTTACCTGCTTGGTAGACAGATTTGCACTCAAAAAATTCAACAGTCAACAACAATATTGTCAGTCATTTATGAGTTCAGCATGAGTTCAGTAATGCTATAGCTAGAAAATGCTAATGATACTGTGAATCTGTTATTTAAAATTCTAATATTGATATTCAAAAAAAATTTAATAATCTAAATTCAAAAACTAGCACCAAACTGACAAATCGATCCTTCAAAACCAAAACAGTCCCATTCAAGCATTTCCTTTATATTATAAAATAAAATAGATGTGAAACAAGGCAAATTAAAAAAAAGTTCAAAACTGTAAAATAAGACATGTGGAACTGAAATCAAGCCTTCCCCCTAAACATGGTAAACATAGGCTAACATATAATGAAACGCCTAAGATTTGTAATTAGAAAAATAAAATGAAAATAAAATATTCTAAAGGTCTTATATTATCAAATAAAAGTCAATAATAAATAAGCCATATGACTAAGATTAATCCCTGAGCTAGGCCTTGAGTACAGCCAGTGTTGCCAAGTCCGTAGTTATCCCACGGAGTTGGGATACCTTTACACTGTTGCTGCGGGTTGTGCCTTTTTGATGCGGGTTGTTTTTTTGAAGGGAAAACCACACACACACACACACACACACAAACAAAACACAGTTGGACTAGTATTCTGAGCTATTTTTGGGTAGCAATTGAGGTGGTTTTGTTCCAGAGACCTGGCAACCCTGATTACAACATCAAAAATGTGGAAACGATTTAATAATATTGAAGGCTTGTGATTTGAATTAGTATTGACAAATATTGAAACCTAACTTTGATTTGATGTAAAACCTCCCAGCTAGTCGTAAAACATCTCCCTGGACAAGTTATTTTTACCTGCTTGGTAGACAGATTTGCACTCAAAAAATTCAACAGTCAACAACAATATTGTCAGTCATTTATGAGTTCAGCATGAGTTCAGTAATGCTATAGCTAGAAAATGCTAATGATACTGTGAATCTGTTATTTAAAATTCTAATATTGATATTCAAAAAAAATTTAATAATCTAAATTCAAAAACT